TAAATTCGAGTTTGACTCCCGAGCCGTTTTGGCCCAACAAATGGACACTCTGCCTCTCATCACCAGTAATTATTGTGCCAGTGTGTGTGTGTGTGTGTGTGTGTGTGTGTGTGCGCATGGCAGACAGCCTCATTAGTGGCTATCCAGACCATTAAAAGTCTGTGTCCTCGTTGCAACAGCAGCAGAGATGCAGGGCTGTAATTATCAGCGGAGACTTTCAGCTATTTCACATGTACGCTCTACCGTTTAACTTCCACTAACGTGCCGCATTCTTCCCCACCGCCGCCCGCCCACGCGCTCACACAAAGCCACACAGTTTGATTCACGCAGGTTGTGTGCACACCTACACGACAGCCGAGACACACACACACTTTCCTCGTCTCCTTCGCTCGCATCCCAAGGCGGGCTTCTGCACACAAGCCTCCGCGCACTTACATAAACTCCCCTTTCGAGTACTACCATGGGTAAACTGTACATTATGAATCAGCTGCTCCGTTCGACCTTTCACCCGACGCGACCCGAGGCGGCTTCAGAAACCATGCAGACCTCAGGTGAAGGTCTGCTTTGTAGAGAAAAAGAAAAGAAGGAGGGTTTGATTCACTGAGCCTCCTCCAGCCTCCCAGGGAATCGGTGTGTAACTAGACAGTGATTCATCGGCTGTGTGTGTACAAGATAGAATAGTTGGAAACAAAAGAGAGAAAGGGAAGGAGAGGAAAGAGCAAGAGAGTGATGAGTTCGGCTCTCTGCCAGTAGACCACAGACTGTCAGCCATGTTCACACTTGCAGCTCTGTCCCTACCACTTCCAAGACCGCTGAGGTGCACGCCAGGGATCAATATCCAGTCCCATGAGCCCCTGGGAAGACGGCCAGGGGCTCTGAGTGTGGAGGGGCAAGATGCTGAGGTCAGATCATAATCAAAATAGAAAGGGTTAAACAAAACTGAACAAAAAACTAGCCTTGCTGCCATCAAAATTAGATCACAGAGCTAAAAGTTGTGCAGTGTGCATCACCTCCCTGTGTGTGGGAGGAGTGGAATCACTAACCTTGGTTGCCTCTTAAACAAATCAGGCACTCCTATTTGGGTTTTAATGGGATGGAGTGATTACCCAGTGATTGCATGAGCGTGGTTAAATAAATTGTGCTGTTTTGAGCTTTAATATCATGCATATTCAACCGTGCATCTTTCAAATAATTTGTTTTCACACGCGGCTACAATGAGGCTGATTTCTGAGAACATCGGGCGAACATGGAACGGGCATTTCAATAGAAGGTGGATAGAATCCGTTTTCTGCCGCGGCTGTTATGTGGAGCTGCCAGCCCTCCTTGGAGAGCTGGAGATGCATATTCATAGAGGGCCAAAAGATTCACACACGCTACCATCCATTCTAGTGTCGCCTCATTTAAATAACTGAAGGGCTAGTGTTAGCCTCTCATTGTAAAATTAAATAGATCTGGGTTTTGTTGTTGTTAATGCAGCCGTCTGTCGGATGTGCGTGCACCTCTGGCAGTTTTGTGTGTTTTCAGATGTTTGTTGTTGTTTTTTTTTCTTCCCTCACGTGGCTTTATTCGATGTATTAAAACATGTAACGATGAGAAGCCAGGAACTGATTTGATCTGAACACATTGAATTCACTGCCGACTTTTTCTGTTTTGTTTTTTTTCTCACCTCCAGTTTTCTCCATCCCTATTGTCACCGTATGCAGATTTATAAAGCCTTGGGATACACACACTTCTTTTTTGTTGCTCAGGTTGAAGCTTGTGCAGATGCATCTTTGTGTCAGTTTGTGCTGCTCCTGATAAATTTCCATTTAACCCCTGAAGATGCCAGTGAAATAGCACAATGGCGCCTGTGTTTTTTCAGTCAAAACAGAAATGTGGTAAATGTTAAAGGGGTTAATCCCATCTTTTCACTGATTTGCCCCAAATTCATTTTGTCTGAGCACACATTAACACTTACAGCCCCCAGTAACTTTTGTTGTTTGTTTTATGGCATTCAGGCAGCTTTGGGTTTTTCTCCATAAGAAGCCTACTCTGACACAGTAGATTTTAATATGAGCCCACATGCCAGATATAATTCAGTGCTTTTGAAAACTAGTGCTTTCTGTGAATTCTTTGCCAGAAATCTCCAGCATCTCTGGAACCCTTTCCAATTCCAAACTCTTTAATTGGCGTTTTTACCAGAAACCAGAAAGTGAAAACGAGGCACAGCTTCAACCGGTCTCATTTATTATTACCTGAAGCTGTGCCAGGGCTGGAGTAGGGGGGGGAGGGTGGAACATGTATGCACATTGCACGCACAAAAATCTCTCATTATGAAACTTGAGAAAGAGAGACATTCCTCATTACTGGTTGTTAAACTGGTCTTGCAGGCATCGGAAAAGATTGCACCTTACAGCAGGACGGGACGCTGGTTAGCTCAGAAGTTGACTCGGACGCCGCAGGGTTCATGTAGATTCCTGCTGCCGGGCCGACAGCTCTGATTAGCATTCGGTCCAGGAGCTTTCAGCACCACAGACAGCTCCTTTCACCCTCTCTCTCTCTTTCTTTCTCCCTGTCTTTCCTCTCTGTCGCTCACCCAACTTTAAGCCACAGGGCAATCTGACACCCACGTCCAACTAAATGTCTGGTATGCCTGAGTTAACAGCGACTTTACCCTGCGGATCACCTCGGTCAGTGATGCCTGGTCGCGCCCCTCCCTTCTGTCTGTCCGGCTCAGCTCAGGTTCTGTCACCCACTCCTCTGTGCTGTTGCCTCCTTCGCTCACTGTGTCCTTCACACTGGCTCAGACTTAGATATTCTGGAAAGCTTTTCATTGATTGACCTTCCTTGGAAAGGAAAAAAGAAAAAAATCCTCTCTGCCCCTTGCAGTTATCGTGCTTCTCAATAATCTTTCGTGTTTCGGTCTGATAAAATATTCCCATGTGCATTGAAAGTGAAATTGGTATTGAGTTTTAGATAAGCTGCTGCAACTGTTTTGTTTCTATATTTCAAGAAAAACTTACTTGCCGTATTTTGACCAAGAGAAGCTCCGAGAAACCTTCTTTATGTGGCTTTTGTTAATTTCCACGTCGTCTACGTTCCACTGGCGGCTCAGTGAGTCGGAGGTTTTTACAGTGCGATTGGAGCCTCGCCAGGCCGAGACTAGGAAGGCTGGCGCATAATTCGAGCAGTCACCCCATAATTTGATCCCTCCATTTGCATATGGTTGTAGCTTCCCAGAGGCGAGACGGTGGCAGCACTTGAAAGACAAGAAGGAGAGAAATTGAATCAGGAAGATAGAGCATGCACCTCTTTCACATGCTCCTGTGAACCCGACTAAAGGAACAGTGCTTCATTACTGCGTGCGTGAATGCACATATGCATGTCAGCTATGCCGCTGCGCTTTTTTACTGATTGTTTTCTTTCATCGCACAAGATAGATTTCTGGTTGTTGTGCTTGAACAATGTTGTAAGCAGCAGAAATGTGTGGAGTACCTTTTTAAAGGTCAAACCAAGATGAATTGGAAAGTCAAAGAAGGATGTGTGCCCTTTCCCTTGCTGCACTGTATTACAAACTGAAACCACTTTATTGTGAGGTGCAAGCATTCCACAGCCTTTTCCTTGCTGAGGACCTTGACAGATCAATGATGTATTCAGAAATAGTTACAGAATGCTAGTCCTATGGGGTGCTTGATGAAGTACTGAGGTGTGTTGATGATTGATGGAAGAACTTATTGATCTAATATGTAAGATTTTAAACAAACTCTGTTCTATATGTTTGGCAATGTGCATGTGAATTCCTCCCATTGAAACCATTAGCCATCACTGCACTGACAAACAGACCGAATGACCTCCTGCGCTTCACTGGAAAAGCAAAAAAGCAATCAGCCAGAGCCCTAACAAGCTATATTTTAAAATTCTTTGGATTCATGTTATTTACATAATTTATGTTTAATTGTCTGTTTTGTTTAATTCCAGCTCTGTGTTAAAGCCTCTGCAGCTGATTTGAGGCTCTTTTTGCTACTCCATGTCCGTTGTGTAGAAACAGACACACAAAAACCGGAGCAGAAAGGGAGGTGAAGTGAACATACAGTTTGTTATGCTAGTGTGGGCTAATGGTTGTAGCTATATATGTCGTGTAAACACCTATTCTGGTTGTAAATGAAAGTGAAGGCAATGGAAAGGTGTTTGTTTTGGTCTGAGATGCTGGTTTTTTAGAGTCACCCAGGGGTTCTGAAAGGTTGCTTTCCTTTCATTAACCACAGCCCACATGGCTGCTTGTATGTGAAAAGGGTTGCTTGTTGTGATTTTCGCTCAACTCTGTAGTTCCCTTCACCTTTACGGGGAATTTTAGCATCTTTTAGCTCATTGTTTTGACTTCATGCCCCCCATCAGCACTGTTTCCAGCATCAGGCAGCTGTTTTTTGGTTTTTATACAGATCACCTCAGTACACAACCTGCTCACAGTGGAGCATTTAGCAGTTAAAGAGACTAAAGGTGTTTCTTTTGGGAGTATTTGATAGGTAATAGATAAGGTGTTAAAATGTGAGTGTTGTGTTTACAGTTTGCTTCCCAAGTAACCAGAAATCTATTAATGCAGGTTCAACATGATAATATTTGTTTAATGCTTTTTTTTATGCTAATTGATTTTCCGCTGATATCCCTCAGTCAAACCAGGAATCATTTATTACTAGTTTTAATTTTACTGTACCTTTACAGCAACTCGGAGACATGTAGATATTTATTTACCATCTTCTGCTTCGTGCTTTTATCCTGTTTATTTCTCTCTTTTTTTGTCCTTTCTTCCATTCACAAACCCTGTCATCGTGTCACATTATTATCCTCATTTGGTTTGTGTGTAATTTTGATGTTTTCTTTATTTTGTTATCATGAACTATAACCAGAAAATGGCTTTCATGGCTAAAAAACAACAACAAAAAACAGCCCTTACATCACATGTTCAGTTCTTTTCCATCTTTTTCAGTCTAAAACATTTTTTTTTTGTTCTCTCAACATTACAGGTCACTATTCACCCTGGAAGACCCCTAAGCAGGTAACATGCATCAGCCTCAGAAATCTGGGCTGCCCTCATTTCAGCTTTCTAATCATTAGTATACAGTAGATTCTCACTTTAGTACCAGTGGCTGCAGTGTGCATACTCTATGTGCTAATCGGAATGATTCTAATCTTGTTTTGTACATATTTGTACAACTTAGAAGTGACTTTCCTCCCCCTTCCTTTGCCGTACTAACTCTACTGATGGCTCACTATAAGTCAGTGGCTTTTACAACAGCTCGCCTTTGATATTCAGCCCTTCTTTATTGTTATGAGATGGCAAAAGGTCCAAGTGGCCCACTCATAACATTGCTAGACTTTGATCCAGCAAGTCAGACTTGATTTATAGCCTGATTCTGTGCCATCAGGGTAATTTACACTCGGGGCATTTGCATTATGCTATTATGCTACATCTATAGCGCTGCTATCCATCTGTGATCAGGCTGCTTTGGCATGGCCCAGATATATTTCATCCCTCTTTTATCTTCATTTCCAACATTTGCCCATTCAGATTTTTTTTAAAAAGCTTTTCTGCACTTTCATACCATCCATTTGCCCCATGGTCATTTGTCATTCACCTTATCTGTATTGCTTTCTTTCTTTCTTGCACATTAAAGCAAAAACCTTCATGTGGTATCTCCGCAAAGTTCAGCTTCTCCTGCTGCTTCCACTGCCTTCATGATGCCGTCCACTAACAGCTCTGCCCACCTCTTAGATCAGATTCACTTGTTCCTGTGTGTTTCTCTCACACTCACATGCCTGCACACATGTGTTTCTCTGCATCTTCCTTTGTTTTTCTCTGTGCAACTGTGTGTGTAAAATCCATTTCATGCCTCAGCATCCTCCCAGCGATTCTCTGACCAGCCGCTGTCCTCGGCTCATGTTGTCCCCATTCCAGATCCCCACTAACAACAGAGGAAAACCTCCGCCGTGTAGCTCTTAAGACACTTTGTCCCCTGAAATCCCTTCATTGTTCATCATTTCCACTCCCTCTCGACATAATCAATCTCCCCCATCTCTCTCAGAATAATTGTAATTCTAAGCTCTAAGCTTTGAACATCATAAAGCAGCAGTCAGCATGCCGAGCCTCTCTCTCTCTCTTGTCTCGTCTGTTCGCCATCTCTTTCTACCCCCCAGTGTTCATTTGTTGGATGCCCCACCCTGACCTGCCCTCCTCTCCCAGCTGCTGAACCCCCCACACACCAGAGTTCAGTCTCAGTTTAATTGGGAATCATTCGTTACAGGAAGACTTTCTCAGCTCAGAGAATGAAATATGGAGGAATTTGACTAATAAGAGAAGAACGGAGCATCGCCTAATTGTCATATCGACCTACAGTCTGGCTCAGGCTCAGCCCGAAGCTCCCCAGAGTTTTGTTTGCAAATGAGCTTATTGAGATTTGTCTGTTGAATCCAGCCGATACTGTAGGTAACAGCTACTCCATGTTGCAGCAGGTGTTTTTATTCAGCCAGCCTGCAGTGTTCTCTGTACATGTGACCAACTAGATCATCGGCAGAGAGAGCTTCTTCAACAGTCTTAATCACAGACAGAAAGAGACAGAGTGAAAGAGAGATCAGGATGCAGTAGTCTACGCCCATCCTTAACAAGGTCCCCAGTCTCAGCAGCCTGCCCTGTGCAGACGTGCTTCACATCAATAGCAGACACGACTGAAACCACAAAGAGTGGAAACACTTTCCATTCCTGCCCAGCGCTTTTATGGAGCTGATATTTATTCTGGGTACATCTTGAACCAGATGCCCTGTATTTCTCAATATTAAAGTGAAGCATATGCATCCAGTCTCACCATCTATATCAAAAAGCCTGTCGCTCCCTTCAGATCCTTCTCTCACACTTTGTGACATGTCAACATGTCATCTTGGCTATCGGCTTAGTGTCGTGCCATGACTGGCACATCAAGGCCGACGCTCTGACTGACTGGTGTTGTCAAAACTGCCGGTGTCACCTCAAACACTTGGCAGCACACTTCCTAATGTGTTGTTGGATGAACTCAATGCAAATTAGGTATTGAATAGCAAACCTTTGAAATACAGAGTAGCCTCATCTCTGACCGACTAATTTCTTCTCTTAACTAATAATGCACCAGATTGACTTCCCTTCTCACATCCTTCTACATGTCTCCTCTCTACACACATCCTTGATGAACACTGTAAACAGACATAGCTGGAAGTGTTTTTCTTTTTTCGACTACTAACCTCACTAACTGTCTGCTTGAATTGACAGTTGGCTCAACACCGCCTCCAAACAGTGAGTTTTATGAACTGTGTCTCGGCACAGCAGACCTGTCAAGCTCTGGATTCTCCACAGGCTGAAGTGTGAAAACAGGTCACTAATTACAGTTATACTCAGTATCTAAAGAGGGTCTTTTGTTTTCCCTCCTCACCAGAACCAAAAATAGAAGCACAAACGTGAGGAACACATAAAACTCTATGTTTATGTGCTTAACATTAGCTGCCGATCTGTAGCGTTAATGGTTAGGTTTAAAAAGTACTGGAGAAAAGGTGAATCTGTGCAGTTTAAGCAACTCCAGATACACTTGTGTGAAACAGGGTCACATTTTCCAAACTCATTGATTATTTATAATTATTTTTGTCCATTTTTCCTTGTAAAAGTGAAGATTGATAGAATTTAATGCATAAATTAGTCAACTTTGAAACCATTCAAGAACACAAAACATTTAAACTATGATGCCAGGACGAACCAGCTCCACTCTGAGCAGCTACACAAATCACCAGCTGATAGCTACCATTTTGGCAAAGCTAAAGACAAGTGTCAGCCGTTTTCCAGTTTGTCATGTTTGTGGCCCCATTTGTGTATTTGAATCCTTTTTTCTGATAATCAGCAGCAAACCTAATAAATTCAGACAAAAACTAGTGTTCTTTGATACTTTTGGAAAGAAATCAGGAGTTTGTTTTATGTTTTGCCTGATCACTGTAAACTTCATGTGCTGTGTGAGAGTGCAAACTTGACATTTTTAATCACTTGAACACAGTGAGGCGGGGTTTAGCGAACAGTCAAACCTCAGTCAAGCAAATTGTGTTTGGATTTTTAGTGTTGTCACCATGGTTGCCGAGCTAAAGTCGAGCGTCAGGATGGGAAAGCTGCAAAGGAAAATACTGACCCCTCATGCCGCTGTGCTTTGCAGGTTCTGGAGCAGTGGGAGTCCCAGCAGGGCCAGAGCAGCCCCGCTCAGACCAGCCTGTCGGCTCCCGTTATAACCCACAGCGCCCCCTTCCCAACACACCATCTTCACAGGGCCTCAGTCCCAGACTCAGCCTCCGAGGCCTTGGCCCTGGCTAAACCTGACCCTTATGACCTTTATGAGAAGTCCAGGGCTATCTATGAGAGTAGGCGTAAGTACCAGTGCTGATACTGCAGCTGTAGCGCTGTGAAAACACACTCCTCTCTTGCAATGAAGCAAGACAGACTCCACACAGGAAGGTGGAGTTATGAAGATTCATCACTTGTTCTCTTTTTTTTTTCCTCATAAACAGACACAAAGGAGATTCATTTTGCTGTTCCACAAAAAAAAAAAAACTAAAAAGTTTGCTGAAATTAGCTGACCTCTTTCTATCAAACTGAAAGATCTGCTGCTGAATTCTCAGCACAAATACCTCAGCTTTAAACAATCATCAGAGGCTTTGCAGATATCTTGCCCCATTAGCATTTGTAGCAACTAATTACTCATATTATCTCTTTTGATCTTCCCTCCTTAAATGCTCACACAAGCCAACACAAATGAAAACCTCCCATTGCCTGATTTTTTTTTATACTACCTCAAAGGATCTTTACATCCAGACATTGACATTCTGCCAGCTCGTATCATAAACTGAGATGCGTTCATGAATAAACACTCCACACAGCAGCTGATCTTTTTACTACAGGGACATAATGCTTCAGTGCAGCAATATTACCGTTTTCTGGGTTGTCAAATGTCAAAAAGACAGATTTTCTTCTTATGATATCATCAGGATGCATCATCACACTTGTGCCCTGTGGGAATATGATGAAAAAAACGAGTATACGTGATTTTAATATGCATGTCAGCAAAATATGCTCAATTTAGGAAATTAGAATAAGTAGGTCTTTACATTTTTTTTCCGTATCATGATGGTCAATTACATTTTTCATGTATTATTGATAACTTTCTCTGAAACCCAAATTGTTTCTGGTTACTTGTGCTCCTGTCACATTTTCACTCACTGTGGGCTCGTTGTTCGCTGCATTATAAAGTCCTGCACCTTTATGGAAACAGCACAGTGAGAAGGAGATAGAATTTTTTAAATGGCTTTTGTGCAGCATTAAAAAGTTATATGATGGCTCTTACTATGAATTTCTTTAATAATTTTAACAAATATTAATTTAGAAATATTAATAAATTAATAAATATTTCACAACTTACATTTTTAATTCATTTCCACACTTGTCTCCTCTCTTCTCCATGTAAACACATTCTGCAGTTTAACTCAAAAGTCTTTGAACTTTTTTCCCTGACTGTAGCTCACAGATGATTCAGTGATGGCTTTATGGTTGTACCAAAGAGTGCGGATATTTATTTATTTATTTTTTTGAGAATCTATTAGGGGTAAAATTTTAAATGAGATATGCAGAATAATTGATGACTTTGATGACATATCACAATTTTAAGCTTAGCTTTGGGGAAGTTTTCTGATCAAACAGCCTGCCATAGATAAGTAGTTCAAGGGCTATTGGAAACTCCTGATGTCATTTTGGTGATATTTTGAAGATATACAAATGCCTTTCGAGCCCGCCAATGGGTTTTAGATTTCTGAGGGGTACACTATAACTTTAAATGTTATCTCCCTATACAATGTCCTAGGTGTAATGATTTCCCAAACACATACTATATATTAAAGACAGATGCACCCTCCGGGTCTGGAAAGTAAAGTAATACACAAGTGTGTTAAACCTGCATTCTTTTCCATGACCAGCAGGGGGAGACTCCACTGGTTGCAAAAACAACACTGTCCAAAGGTCTATGGGAAAATGACCCTACTTCTCGTTTCTCTTTTTATCTCAGTAAACATTTTCTGAATTACTTTATGGTCTTAATCGCTAGTTTTATGGCTCCCTTAATACAGGATGATGTTCATTTTGTAAATGAGGCTCTTCTTTAGAGTAAAATAGCTCAGAGAGCAGGGTACGATTTAGGGCTCGGCTACCTTATGAATGACAAGTTGCTGCTTCATCGTTCTGCCCTCTGTCAGATCCTCATCTTGCTTGATGGCAACTGCCAAATTCCAAACTCAAGGCCTCAAACCTGTAGTCCACAAACCAAGCAGTGACGTCGTTGTGGCTACATCCATCTTTTGTGTGCCCTTTATGATGTCAAACCCATTCAGCTCTCACTGAATTCTTGTCAGTTGTTTATTTATCAATCTAAAATTAGTCCAGCTCACACATTGTAATAAAAATACTAGCAGGGTGTAAGCTTTTATGAGAATCATTTTTATTTTCGACAAGTTCCTAAAACCTTTTAATTAACAGAAAATACTGACAGAATTGCCTGAGTGTAAACAGTAAATAAGACCCTGCCTAAAAGTAGTTAAATTAAACATATGCGCTCTGAAACTCAATTAAAACTGCAATCATCCTGTCAAATCCCCAAAATAAGGAAGCTTTTAACTGAATTAATTACGTCTTGCATAAAACCTCTAAATTCACATGCAGACAAATATATAGTGAAGACGGAACCTCGGCGTCCTCAGCAGTGCTTACAACCCTGTTGCATTGAAGTTGCTCTGACTATTATTAAAGATAGTAGTCTTTTGTGCTTGCACGGAGTCGCATGGTAATTATCTTCCCTCTGGTTCCTTTGAGGTAGCCTCTGCTAACGTGAGATAGTAAAGATTTGATGGTGATCATTCTTATATAAGGCACCTGTTACTCAAGAGGACGTGGCTGTCAGAAAGCCTCCTTATCAAACCTTCTTTGTCTTTCTGCGTCTCTCACAAACTCTGGTCTCTCCAGCGGTGAGAAATCAGTGATCAGTGTTGAATTCGCTGCTGCCTTCTTTTCAGTAAAGGTCAGGGGTTGGGTCCGCTGAGGCTCAGCAGGGAAAAGGCACGGACAGATTTTAGCAATGCTCCATTTGCCCCTCTCACTGGTGTCGGTGAAGTAGGGTGTGACCTTTCATGCAGCAGTACAACCCCACACTATTTGCCTCCCGGCATTCGCTGTGTGCAGACTCTGCCAGTGCTGGTTAAATTTAGTTTCCGTTGACCCTTAATAAATTAATGCCAGCAATTATGTAAACAGATCAAGTTAAAGGGTCAGGCCACCCAAACTCTGCAGTGTTTCTTCTCAGTTACTCACATTAAAGTCCCAAATCAGACTGCTGATGCTGTGGATTAGACAGAGCAACGGGAGCCCTGTTTCTAGAGAGAGGTTGCTGGTTTTAAAAATGTATTTTGTCAGAGCCATGAAACAGTTCTATTCTTTTCTCTTCCAATGTTTTGGAAGCAGACATTTACAAAACAGATGTCTTAAATCCTGAGCAAATAAGACCAAAACAATCTGCCTGGCTGGAGACCGCTCGGGGTTTAGTGTTTGTGTGGGTTTTATTGTGTCTTTGATGAAAATCATGTAGATTGAAACATCACACACAGATACACTTGCAATGAGGGTTTTTTTTTTTTTTTTTTTTTTAAGCCAACATGGACAAAACAGCCTTTCAAAACAGGAAAATGAGCATCTACAAATCTTGGCAATTGACCAGTGTACCTCTGGTGTTTATGTGAAATGACTGAAAGCTCAGCCGTTAAATTGACTTTGAGGTGGAGAAATTATATCATTATTTATTAGTATCATTTATTGCGTTTTAGTCTTCTTAACCCCAAGATGTTTCTGGGTGTTCTTCTGCACCTGCTACATTTTTACTCACTGTGGGCTCATTTTTCATCTATGGAAACAGCACAACCATGGCTAGAAGTACAAAAAGCTTGTATATGGCTTTTGTGCAGTATGACACAGTTATTATAGCATGGACGTTGTTGTTTTTTTTTGAAGGGGGAGCTGGTTAAATTTCATTAATTGTTTATTTTAAAAAATACTTGAAAAAAACTCTAACATAGACAACATGTTTCCAAGTGTCCACGGGTGTTACCAACACTGGGGGAAATGATGACTCTCACATTACATTAGATATTTTACGAATAACATTTATTTTTATCACTCATCTGTTCTTTGCTCTGTGTAAACACAGTCTGCAGTTCAACCCACAGTCGTCCTTAAATGCATTCACACCTTAAAGAAGGAAAAACAGCTGAAATAAGTTGAAATTGACAAAAGTAATAATAAATTTTAAAAAATAATAAAAATCATGACATTGCTTTTGAATTGTGGTTCAACAGTTTTTTTTTGTTTGTTTTTTTTTTAAAGAAAAAAAACAACAACAAGCAAAGAAGCATGATGGGACCGTAAACTAATATTTTGTTGAACAACCCTTTGAGCCAATCACTGCATCAAGTGTTTTCTGTACCTCTGTCAGACTTCTGCACCTGTTGACAGGTATTCTGGTTTTGGTCCACTGCTCATCAGCAAAGTGCTCTAATTTGTCTGGGTTTGTATTTGGTTTTGGTTTTTTTAATTATTCTTTTCACCCACAATTCAACAGCAATATCTTATTTCACTAAATTATAATTTAGTATTTTTTTATTTATTACTACTTTTTTCAGTTTCTAGTTATTTGAGTGACTTTTGTGAAATTTGCCTTTTCTTTAATGGAAGGGGATGAATACCGTTGAGGACTAGTTCAGCTAAATAGTCTCTGGCTGATTGTGCCTTCATAGTCGCACCAAGGAACAGAGAATGTTTTGTTCTTTACAGAATGTGGTGAAAACTGTTTTTGTTGTGTTTGTTTTTTGTAGATTTTGAAGTGATTTTGATTTCATGATTTAAGCTTAGATGTGGCTATTTTTCCCAACAGAACTGTGCATCACAAGGAGATTCAAGGAATTCCAGAAAGCTAAAAATCTGACTATTATCTCTGTTTTTCCACTTTCTGGTTTTAATAAATGGTGCAATTTGGCATTTCTTTATAAAGATAGCACGCTTTTTAAACTTGCTGACAAGTTTCCGACTTCAGAGGGTTAATTGCCTAAAAGACTGATTATAAATGAGTAAATACAACTTGGTTACACGCCTGTGTCCCTGTATGAACTGTACTTGATGACTGTGGTTACAGCTGTGTAAGTCCTCTTGTCATTATTTTCTTTTCTCATCATTCCTGCTGAGTCCCAGCAGAGTGTTCGCTATGATTAAAACTGTTACAATTGGAATCAATTTTTCATCCGCAGCCCATCGTCTGTAGTTGGCTTCATTTCGCTACTCGCAGATCATGGCGTTGTCTGAACCCCTGATTGCAGATCAGTGCTCGCATCCCACCTCACGCTGTAAATAAGCGACGGGTATATTACATGCTGTAAGCACTTCCTGACGTTTATGGATGATGCTGAAATTCTGCAGTGACATTAATGCTGAGCCAGAGCCTTCCTGCCTTGTTCTGGCCTTTATGGGAGCGTCTGTGTTTGCTGCTGTGCCTGTCCACCTTTGTGTGCATGTCTGCATATGAGCAATGTTTGTACATTTTGCATTGTTTATGGGGGCTTTCTGTCTCTTTCTATCCAGAACCCGGCCAGCCAAGGACTGTTTTTTCTGTGGACTCTTCAGGTAAACACATAATCTCTGGTGGGCCACTTCAAGGAAACAAACTGTTCTTCAGCTCCAAACAGGACAAGACGTTCATTCTTTTTCTTGCGTTTTGCTTCAGGAACAGAGTTCCAAGACATCGAGGTTCACCTGCGCAGACAGAAGTCCGGGTTTGGTTTCCGGGTGCTGGGTGGTGATGAGGCCGGGCAGCCTGTGAGTCCGGAGACGCGTGAGAAGGCTCGTATGGCGATGGGCGTGGAACCCTGTCATCTTCTCCTCTCTAACCCACTACACACACACTGAACACCTAACCCTGACCCGTGACCCCTGAGAGAGTGCTGGCTCTGGCTGCTTTGGTGTTTTCTGCTGTTTGTTACAGTAACACAACAACATTTCAGTCACATTATTGAGCTATTGATGTAACAGAATAACAACCACCTTAACACACACTGCATGTGACATGATAGCCAACATCTGGAAACCACTTGTTACTCCTGCTTCCTGTGTATAACAACAGTCTGTTTGATAACAGATCTTAATCGGGGCGATCATCGAGAAGAGTCCAGCAGATCTAGATGGAAGGTTGCGGCCCGGTGATGAGCTGCTGTTTGTGGACGGGATCCCGGTGATGGGGAAGCCACACAGATATGTTATTGACCTGATGCACGGGGCGGCACGCAACGGCCAGGTGAATCTGGTGATCAGGAGGAGGGTTCAGGCAGCAGGTGAGGAAACATGAATGGTCTGACGTCATGATCAAACCATAAATATGTTTCTTTAATGGGGGTATGTATTACTTAAACTTCTGAACTCCAAGCAATGTCTGGCTGTTTTTTTGCTCCTGTCACATGTTTTTGCTCACTGTATGCTCATTTTTCACTGCAATATAAAGTCCTTCACCTCTATGGAAACAGCACAACCATGGCTACAGGTAGAGAGGCTCAAAAATGACTTTTGTGCCGTATGACACAGTAACAGTGCCATTAATCCTAAAAGAGAAAATATAAATATGTTTTTTCTTCTGTATTTATTTTACAAAAATTAAAAAAAAGAAAAAAGGAATAACATAAACAACTTTTTTTTTCAAGTGCTCACTGGTGCTATTAAAAAAACTCTACATATTTAAGATATTTTACTGCTTTCATTTTAAATTTGATTCTATGCTTGTCTCCTATATGCTCGGTGTAAGCACAGCCTGCAGTTCAACCCAGTTAAGTCAAAAACTATTAAACATTTTAAATTATTTGTCACAGTCAATCATAGCTTCTTAGTTGTATTGAAGAGCACACACTTATTTTATTTATTTTTGCAAAATCTGGTCAGATTAAAGTGTTAATTTTTGACATTTTCTTTTTTTGAGATGTGAGTTCAATGAAATATCACAATTTTAGGCTTAGATTTATTTAATTTAGCTGAGATAGGCTCCAGCCCCCCGTGACCCTAGTGAGGATTAAATGGTGTATAGATGATGGATGGATGGATTTATCTAATTTTACTGATGTAATGGCAAGTCACGTGATGAGTTCAAAAACCCTTTAAAATTCAATGATTCTTTCTGTTACAGTTTCTGGTTCTGATAAATTGTGTAATTTTGTTGATTTTCTTTAAACATAACTCACTTTTCAAACCCACCACTGGATTAAAAGCAGGAAAAAAGTATAATTTAATTCAAAGTAATTTATAATGCAAAAAATGCCAGACACTTTGCTGAGTCACACCTCTGAAGGTTTGCTGCTGTTTTTAAAGAGGTTTTGGACTATAAACCAGACAAAACAAGGTCTTTAAAGATGCCACCTTTGGCCCTCCTTGGTTTTGAAGCGCATGGTGAATACTGCAGAAAGTAACTTTAGTGAATTGTAAAACGAGTTCACAGTCTTAGCTTTCTTCTGTTCCTCTATCATCTTCTCTTGTTTCTCTCTTGCCTCTCCTGTTCACTGCTCCCATTCATGTCCTGTAATGATTCAGGGAACAGGTTTAATCAGTCAGAAAACTGAAGCACTAATCTCTGAGTAATTACACCGAGGCCTCCCCATAAAACACACTCTTGCTGTTACACACTGCTGTTTGCTCTCTGCTCCTCATTCGGCTCCTTTACCTTTGTAGCTGCGAGCCTGGAGAGTGGGATGGCACTTCCTTGTGTGAACCGCGGCCTCCCCTGTTCTCATTATTACCGCCTTCCCACACACACACACATACATACAGACACGTGCACAGGCTTTTTTCACCAATCCAATTCTTCCCACTCTATTCCGCCCTCTCTGTCAATTTCCTCTCACCAAAGGCTACTGCCTGACTCATGCCTGGCCTCTTCTGCAGCCCTTACTTCCATCCTAATTGTCTGACTCCCACTGGCACTTTACGAAGTGTCAGACTTTGCTCTCTGCTCTGAGCTCATACTTCTGCCTGCACCCAGTGCCCCACATTTTACACGATTCATTTTCTTTTTTTTGACTATTTTGTCTTCTCATGAGATAACAATTTGTGCAACGGCTGGTGTAAGGAAATACTACATGTTGGTATGCACCCTTTCACTGAGACAAATCTCACTGTAGCTTCACATTAGCAAACCAAAGTTACGCTTTAAATTCCTACCCGTTAAACAAGAGCAAGACGTCTCACCTGTGAGCTATCAAAACAACGCTGGGTTTGATCGCTCAGTGTGCCAGAGAGCGTATACACACAAAAAGCTAGAGTTGCACGAAGCAGCTTTCAATGTGGTTGGATTGACGTGATGCTGCATTTTAATGATACGTTTCACCACATTGTAAGCTTTTTCTGTTCCGAGTTGTCGTGTTGTGTTCGACTCGTGATTCTTCAAGGGAGGAGCTGTAGCCCTAGCTTGTCACATTTTAGTGAGAAGGATAAAAAAAAACAGTATGTTGTCTGTAAAATTAATTGTTTTTGCTCATGCAGAATAATCTGTGGATTCTACCAAAGTACCACACCGGTAACTCTTAGTGGAACAGAAAGACAGTGTGTCAGGAGTCTTTCATTTCCCTAATTTACTAACGAAAAGCTGTAGTCATGACAGTCTGTTTTTAATGTGCCAAAAATGCAGCATGTGTGTAGTGATGGAAAGTACATTTATTGTTTGTAAGTATAATTTGCTTGTGCTGGAGCCTTTCCAAGCTAACATTGGGTGAGAGGCAGGGTAGACCCTGAACGCAGCACCAGTCCATCTCAAGGCTAACACAAAGAGACAGGCAAGCGTGCACGCTCACATTCACACCTACTGGACAATTTAGACTCTGTAGTTGACCGCTAGTCTTTGGAGCACCCAGGCACAGGCAGAACATGCAAACTCCACACAGAAAAGCCTCAGCCCCTGTTGTGAAGCACAGCGGTCACTACTTTACCACTGTGCTCCCCTTTGTTACGACATGTCAGAGCTAATTATTGTGTTCTTTACTGCAATAATTTAGCAGTCTAGGAGTGAGTAGTGACTTCTCAGATTAAGTCTTTACATAAAGCACATAATATGATCTTTTAAG